AGGTAAGTAGCACTACGGCAACTCTATGACCGTCAACTTATACCCAGTAGGTGTGACACTTGGACTTGTGGTCATCCCACAAGCAATGGCATATGCCCTTCTCGCACGACTCAGCCCAGAATATGGTCTCTACACCTCCTTCACCGGCGCAGCCCTATACTGGCTGTTCGGGACATCGAAAGACATTGCAATAGGAGTAAGTCCCAATGCCAACATCCTTTTCGTCAGACCATACCTAACAACCATCTAGGCAACAGCTGTAGTTTCCCTCCTAGTTGGCAAGGTCAGCGCCAAAGTCCTCGAAGAACACCCCGGCGAGTTCGCCCCCGAAGAAATCTCCAAGACCCTCGCCTTTCTCGCCGGCGCTGTCCTTCTAGTCTTCGGTCTTCTGAGACTTGACTGGATCATCGAATTCATACCCCACGTCGCCATCTCCGCTTTCGTCACCGGTGCCGCTATCACGATTACACTCAGCCAGATACCGTCTCTTTTGGGGATTGATGGCGTCAACTCTAAAGCCGCCGCATACCGAGTCTTCGTCGATACAGCACGTGGTCTGCCCCGCGTCAAGCTTGATGCCGCCATTGGATTGACAGCGTTGGTGTTGCTTGCCCTTATCAAGTGGTACACCGAGCGTATGGCGAAGACGCAGCCGAAGCGCCGAAGGATGTGGGAGATGCTGTGTTCCCTTCGCATGACCTTCACCATTCTACTATACACTCTCATCAGCTTCTTGGTAAACCGAGGACTGGGCGACGGCGAACACAAATTTCGCATCACCGGTACTCTCCCAAGAGGCTTCACCCATGCTGGTCCGCCGTCACTTAACCCAAAATTAATCTCTGCACTCCTCCCGGACCTCCCTGCCACCGTGATAATCCTCGTAATCGAGCACATCGCGATTGGGAAGTCATTCGGTCGCATTAACAACTACACAGTCCAGCCTTCACAAGAGCTCATCTCGATTGGCTGCACTAACCTCTTCGGCCCCTTCCTCGGGGCCTACTCTTCGACCGGGTCATTCGGAGGCACTGCTATTCTCTCCAAAGCCGGTGTCAGAACGCCTTTGGCCGGCGTCTTCAACGGATTCATTCTCCTCCTCGCTCTTTACGCTCTCACCTCCGTACTTTACTATATCCCCATGGCAAGCCTGGCTGCCCTGATCATCCACGCTGTGATCAATCTCGTCACCTCACCTGACCACATCTTCAAGTCATGGCTCATGTCCCCTCCCGACGTGTTCATCTACTTCATCGGCGTATTCATCTCCATCTTCACCAGTCTGGAAGACGGCATCTACGTCACCGTCGCCCTCTCAGCCGCTCTGCTCCTCCTGCGCCTCGCTCGCGCAAGGGGCCGCTTCCTCGGTCGCGTCCGCACCTACCGCCATCCCGACCGAAGCCCTGCCGAACACCACGACGTCGACCGTCACTCAGTGAGCAGTTCACAAACTCTTCACCACAGCCGGTCTCCCCCGTCCCCTCAACTCCCTGCGCGAGACGTCTTCCTTCCTCTTGATCGCAAAGACGGTACAAACCCAGAGGTACATGTGGGAGAGCTCTACCCAGGCGTGTTCATCTACCGGTTCACGGAGGGCTTCAACTACCTCAACCAAGCACAATACGTCGACCGGGTAATTGAGCACGTTACCCAATCCACCCGTCGCACGACGATCCCTCACTACGATCACCCCGGCGACAGGCCGTGGAACGAGCCCGTCCCTGCTGCGACTGTCGAGACCGACTCAGAGTCTGCGGCCCTAACAAAACCTTTACTACGAGCCGTTATCCTGGACTGCTCCGCCGTCAACAACATGGACTCCGGGGCCGTCGAAGGTCTTATCGACCTCCGCAACCAGCTCGATCGCTGGGCCGCGCCGGAACCTGTCGAATGGCACTTTACAGGCTTGCAAAACCGGTGGACACGCCGAGCCCTGTCAGTGTCAGGTTTCGGTTGCCCTGCGCCAGGGCACTTGAGTCGCTGGGAGCCCGTGTTCACCCTGGCAGAACTTGCCGGCCAGCCCCCGATGATGTGCGATGGTGCATCGACTGCGAGGAGCTCAAGGGCCGTTTGTGTGACCAGCGACTCGGAGCAGTCATCTTCGACCTTGGAGGAAGGAAGCTTGGCTTACAAGGAGATTGGGGGCCGACTTTTGGGTCTAATTACTGGGATCAATCGTCCTTTCTTCCACCTTGATCTTGCCTCGGCTGTTGAGAACGCAGTTAAGAGTGCGGCTGGGAAGGACCGCCATCTTAGAGAATTGGGTCATTGATGTTTAGAATCACGGGTGTGTTGCAGGAGTTGGGAGTTATTGAGGCGAACGTAGCTATATTCCAGCAAGGTCGGCTTCATCATCCTATTTTCGATTCATTTTTAGAGATACTCCATTAGCGACAATTACATGGATTGAAATAATGATCATTGCCTCACACCGAATATTTGTGACAACATGAAGGAAGCATCCGAATGATTCCTTTCGAAAACAGATTCGTCTCTTCATAACATCATACTTATAGAACTTCTACACAAAAAACCTAGACCACAGTCGTAAACACCTGGATTTTACTCTTGCTTCCCCATTTCGCCTCGATGCCAGGAGCAATGAAGTAGATGTGTCCAGCCTTGACCTGGAACTGCTTTCCATCCGCCTCCAGGACGCCTTCACCCTCGGTAACGATAGCGACAGCAGGTCCCTCGCCCGGCTTAAGAACCTCGCTTGGGTTCTTCTCGTCCAAATCCGTCCGCAGCATATCAAACTCGCTCAGCGGCGGGCGGTACACCACCGTCCGACCCTGCCCACCCCTGGAGCTCTTCTCCCCAGGCAACATGACATCGCTCTTACTGTGAGCCTTGAAGGTCAAAGTCTTGCTGAACAAGTCCACATTGTTCCGGTCGCCGGGTGGACAAAAGCCAGTGTTGAGAACGTTGTTCGACCGCGCCATGCACTCGACGATGTCTCCGGACAAATACGCGTGGATGCCATCTGCGGGGATGTACAACGCCTCACCCGCCTCCAACGTCAGGAAGTTCATGCACAGTAATGCGACGAGCGTTCCCGGGTCGCCCTTACCGTACTGCTCCTGCAGCCTTGGCAATAGGTCTAGCACGTATGCGTTGCCGCCGAGCTCGTCGCGGGGCGTGTCGGCCAGTGCTTTTGATGCCTTCTCGACGGTCGATTCTTCGGCCAAAAGGATGCGCCGAGTTACTTCCCGCAGCGTCTCATCAGACCAGGTCTTTGTGCCGTCTGGGATGAAGTCCCTGAGCGCGGGGATGTTGAAGATGGGGGAGATTTGGTCGAGGGGCTTGAAGCCAGCGAAGACTTCAAATTTGCCCAAAGCTACAGCGATCTCGGGCTTGTGGTTGGAGTCGGTAAAGTTTTCCGGGTCTTGCTCGTGAAGCTTGCTGGCGAGAGATTTGTTGGGGTGGATTTGCAGCGGGAGGGCCTTGGCGATTGAGAGGATCTGAGTCGCGTGTCAGCGTGTGCCAATTGCAATGGCCTCATGGGTAAAGGGAGCCGACCTTTGGCAGATATGGCAGCTGGCCATCAAGCTGCTCAATGACCTTCTTTCCCAACAGCTTCTCCTTGTTCTTTTTCAAGACGTCGCTGAGCAGCTCCTGTGACTCGAGAACCCGGGCAGGGAAGTCCGGGTAATCACCAAACCACATCTCTGAGTAGGCCTCACCATCCTTGATCTTGAAGCCGGTAGGGGTGTTTTCACACAAGCGCGCGGCGAGGGAATCATGGCCCTTCTTTCCCCAATCGTAGTTGTTGCATGTGCCGCTCAGCTGGAAAACGGTGCCGTGTGAACTCATGATGGCGGTATTTGATGTCCTTGCTTTGTCTAATGATGTAGTGGGATATTCTACACAGAAAATCGTTTACTGCCCAGATGACAATTTCGTCCGCGAGGTTCTATCGGCTCCGAAAACATCGCATCACCCAGACGCGTTCTAGAATTCCACATGAGTGACCGGCCTGTGACGTCGGGAGGATTGACGCAAGAGGCTCGTCATAGACGACGCCCGGCGCGCGCCCGGTCCCACCGCCCTGGATCTCGGCGGGCCGTGGCGAACTTGCACCCGAATGGGCCTTCTCAGCCCACCGCTGCACGCCGAAAGCGCGTTTCTTAGTGGGACAGATGTATGCACCTCATCGTGATCTTGAACGATCTAATCACAACATCATCGTGAAATTAAAGTCCCAATGATTAATTCGAATCAAGCTAAACATGTTCGCAATTGTTTCTTTGCATTACACTTGCTCTGATTGGCTCATCCTAGACAGGGGGGGCATACGTCGAGCTGAGCGGAGAAAGTCAAGTCTGACGTTAAAGCCGTCCAAGTTCAGATGAAGCCGAAACTCTCTCCAAGTGATTGACAGGGGCTTCCCCATATCGGCTCATCTGTTTCCGTTCTATTTTTTTATGATTCTGGCCAGTGTAACCCCTGATCATCACGCTTCATTCAACGACCAGACAATCGACTCTACACTAAGACTACACTACACGTGGACTGTTGCCGAGACGGAGAAAACCCACAGAGAAGAGCCGATCTTGTCTCATTCTGAGGTGAAGTCATCACAAGATTTCGCAGAGCCAGTGAAAGTCACATGAGCAATTCGTCAACACAATCACTCGTTGAATTATAATACAGTAAAGACAGACTTTCTTCTCCACTATTTTTTTGTTCGCGAAGGAACTGAATGCCAGTAGAAGTAATAATAAAGTTTTCACTCATCACATCGAATCTCATAGTAATCCAACAAGTCCGGGAAACCCATTCCAGCTTCAGGGTCCTGATGATCGCCCGTCTCATCAACGTTGTTCTCCCCAGAATTGTTCTCGCCGCTGAACTGGCCATCCTGACCACCTTGCCCGTTGTGATCATCCTGTGAAGATGATTTGGCATTGTTCCCATTCCCCTTCTGAGCTCTATCATTATTAGAATCTTTCATATTAAACACCGCACTGGCAGAGTTGTTGCTGAATGGAAAGGGGGACCTAAAAGATCCTGTGGAGAAAACGGCGCGCTTGAGCGTTCTTGGCGGCCTTGTTCGCCGCCTTGCCGTTGGCTCCAGCGTTGGCGTTGGCGGCATTGCCAGCAGCGCCGTCCTGGTTCTCGCCTTGTTGCTCGTTGTTGCCCTGCTGCTCGTTGTTGGTGCCCGCGTTTCCACCGGCAGCACCGCCGGCAGCATCATCCGCGGCGTCCTCTCCGTTAGCAGCACCACCGGCAGCATCGTCTGCGGCGTCGTCTGCGGCACCGTTGTTGGCGTTGTTCTGGTTGCCGGCGTTCTTGTTCTTCTTGCCACCGGCAGCGTTTCCGGCATTGCCTCCAGCAGCGTTGTCAGCAGCGTTGTCCGCGTTGTCAGCAGCGTTGTCCGCGTTGTCCGCGTTGTCTGCATTGTCTGCGTTGTCTGCGTTGTCTGCGTTGTCTGCGTTGTCTGCGTTGTCTGCGTTGTCTGCGTTGTCTGCGTTGTCTGCGTTGTCTGCGTTGTCTGCGTTGTCTGCGGCACCGTCCTGGGCATCGTTGGCGTTACCACCAGCAGCACCATCGGCGGCGTTGCCATCAGCAGCATCATCAGCAGCGTTTCCAGCGTCCGCAGCGTTACCAGCGTTGTTGTTGTTGTTGTTCTTGCCGGCCTTCTTGTTCTTCTTGCCTCCCGCGTTGGCGTTGTCAGCGTTGCCAGCGTTGCCAGCAGCGTCATCGGCGGCGTCATCAGCAGCATCATCAGCAGCATCATCAGCGGCGTTACCAGCATCCGCGTTTCCAGCGTTTCCGGCATTGCCACCAGCGTTCGCGGTACCGTTGCCTGCAGCTGCGTTGCCGGCGTCGGCAGCAGCTCCGCCATTTGCAGCCGCGTTCTTGCCGGCGGCCTTCGCGCCCTTTGCCTTTGCTGCCTTCGCGGCCTTGGCCTTCTGCTTCTTGCCTCCAGCAGCGGCACCGCCGGCGTTTGCGGTACCGTTGCCGGCGGCTGCGTTGCCGGCGTTGCCAGCATCCGCAGCGTTGTCCGCATTGCCGTTAGCAGCATCAGCGTTGTCAGCGTTGCCAGCGGCGTCCGCAGCATCGTTGCCATCAGCGGCATCGGCGGCATCGTCGTCGTTGCCCGCGGCCTGCTGCTTCTTGCCCTTTCCGCGTCTGAGCTTGAGCCTGCTGGCCTGAGCACCGGCCTCGAAGACGTTGATCACGCCATCTCCGTTGAGGTCTGCGGGATCTCCGGCGGCGGCGGGGGTGCCGTTCGGGTTGTTCCTGTCAAAGGTGCTCTGGAGCTGGGCGATGAGGTCGCTGCCCTGACCACCGTTGGCTCTTCGCTGGCGCTGGTGGCCGCGGAGGGCGTCAGAAGTAGTGGGTGCGGCTGCGGCGAAGCCGGCCAGGAGGAGGACGGCTGCTTGAGAGAACTTCATGTTGTCTGGGGTGTAGAGAGTATGAAGAGATAATAACAAGAGAAGGTGAAAAAGAATGGAAATAGAAAATTGCTAACACGAACTAGACTACTACCCGAGTAGTTGAAAGAATGAGACTGGCTCAACTCAAGAGAAAGAAAAAGGGAGAAGAGGAAGAAGTAGTTGTTGAGGCGTGAGAGGTAGAGAGGAGAAGCAATTCATTGATTGTCGGCCAAGAGCCCAATCTTTATATTTCTTCTTCGCACCCGTCATCTGCCATCTGACCTCAACCCCCCAAGTCCCGGCCTCTTCACGCCATTCATCCGTTGTCATTGCGCCAAAGTCTCAACTCCCAACAACAATTCAGCCATGTACAGCCATGGTGGGCCCAAATCCAGGCCCATCTCACTCGGGATACAACCCCCCCGTGAAACATTACATCGAATCCTCAGACCGGTGGCATGTGCCAAGCAACCCGACCGTAAAGAGAGTTGTAAAAGGCCTTGGACCTGCAGTTCTTCCCATCAGCTGGGTGTTGCTGCCAAGTTCTCCGCGTATCCATGCTGGATCCATGATGGCTGTGTGTGTGTCTAGGATGTCAAGGATCCTCCGCACTCCACCACTCGCCTCGGAGCCAAGTCTGACGGGACAGGGCACATCAACCATCCAAAACGTCAAAAAGTCCCCACAAAAGTTTCGACGAGTCGCATCAGTCTCAGAGACCTCCGTCGTCTCATCGTACAAAAAAGTCTTGGCTCCGTACCACGCCCCCAATCACTCAATCTTTCTTACCCTTACCGCGTCTTGGGGCCAAACTTCACAGCGAAGAAATGGCCCCCCACTCTCGGGTTGACTGCCCACTCCTTCTAGATCAGTTTTGGTAGACAAGCAACAGGCCAGGATGATCGTGGCGGCTTTCAATTTTCATCTGTTCTCCTTCTTAACTAATCCCGTCACTAAAATAATCACGTCATCTGTCATCCGTAACCGGGCGTCAAGCTCTTGAAACACTTCCAGACGTGATGAACACTGGGCCCCTAGCAGCAGCGCAAATCGTGCAATAGCACGGCGCCTAGGTACGAGCCCAGAATAAAGCTCAGGATAAGCTTGATTGCCATTAACGAAACGGGGAACCAAGGCTCTGGGCCCCGGGGGATGTGTTAGCACATCGGAAAGTGGAGAGTTTGATCGGCCTGTGAGCAACTCGTGAATGGCGCTGACGGCTCGACTTTCTGTCTTTCCCGCGCAGCCGTGTCGCAGGCGCCAGGTGAGGGCTACCCCTGTGTGTTTTCCCCCGTGAGCCAAGCTCCTTTTTCTCGCCAAACCAAGCTTGTCCCTTCCCCGTGATTCTAATATTGGAAGCAATGTACGGCGTATAGAGTAGGCGAGTGCTCATCATTGTCGCTCACAGTGAAAATCAGCGATCGTCATCCCACAAGTCCCGGTTGATCATGTTCATGGTGCGACAAGTCAAGTATGGTCGAGACCCATCGTTGCATTTGCCATTATGGTTGCGAATAAGCTTGAGAGGGCCTAAGACGGCAGAGTTTGTGTATTTGAATCAAAGGGGGGGTTTTCTTCAGCGGATAATACAATTCGCTCATTCCCTTCCCTTTTGAAATAGACATTATGAAATAGTATTGTACAATCATGAAGAGGTAATTCGTCAAGGTGTGTAAGTGAAATACACGTAGTGGGGGGCAGTCTCTTAGACTTGGACTCTCAACACTTAGAAACTGTAGCAAAGATCCCAAAGAGGCACGCGGGTGTGGTACAACTCGGCACTCCAGAACTTAGTCGCGAACGCTGTGAGATTGAAATAGAAGTCGGTCGCAAGCTCGACACCATTCTTCTCGGCACAGATGAGCCCGTCCGAGGGGACCTCAGCGCTAGCTGCCGGCGCGCTGGTGAAGTTGCCCGCCGCACCCAGGTTCTGCTGTCCGCGCAGCTTGAAGTGGTTGTCAAAGCCAGGCGTAGCAGTCAAACCAGAGCTAAGGTCGACGAGGCCACCGAGCAGCTTGATGGCCAGCTCCACAGTCACGTCCGCCGAGGCGTCGACACGCACGTCCGCGGCCTCGGTGATGTTGGCGTAGCTGCTGTACTTGGGTTCCCAGCCTGTGGCGCTGGACTTGCTGCTGTCGAGCAAGTCGAGATGGACGTTGCCGTCGGGCAAGTTGACGCTCAGCCCAGCAGTGACACCTACAGCCGCAGAGACGTCGAAGTCGAGGCCGACGGCGAAGGCGACGCCCGGGCCGAGCTGGACGACCCCTGGAACTGAGACGAGGGAGTAGGCGAGCTCGTCGGGGGCGTACTTGAGCTGGTGGCTGTACGCGGCAGCAACATCGACGGAGAGGCCCACGGCGGAGTCGAAGGTGGTGTCCAGGTCGAAGTACAGCGCCTCGAGCTTGAAACCCCAGAAGTTGTACTTGAGGTAGCCTGAAAAGGTAATGGAGGAGGAGAACCACGCCTCGTCGGCGGTCACGTTGATGTACTGGCCGTCGCTGAAGAGGACGGTGTTATCGGCGAGACCCTCGGAGAAGGAGATAGAGACGCTCGGATCTAGGGTCAGGCGTTTGGAGAGCGTGGCCGCGGGCAGGGAGGAGAAGGACATTTCGCATTGGCCGGCAATGTTAGTCAGCTCCTCCTTGGAGGCGGCGACGGTGATGGAGAGGTCATCCCTGCTCGGCGTGAGGCCCGTGGCCATAAAGAAGCCGCGTTCAAACTCGGCGTCACAGTTGCCCATATGATTCGTGATGAGAATGAAACCCTCTTCAGACTCGGACCAGTCCTTGACCGCCTGGTCGAAGGCGTCGGCGCCAGAGAAAGAAACAGTGAGCTCGTTGTCGTCGCAGACGACGCTCTTTACGGCGTCAACCTGCTCCAAGACCACGGCAGGGTTGTTGAGGGCGAGGGTCATGTTGATGGAGCCCTGCTCCTCGGTCTCGGTGGCAGAGTAGTAGAGCGAGATATTTTTGGCCGGGACGATGTTGACGGGGTCCTTTGTGTCGATGCCCGGCGCGATGGTGGGACCGAAGGTGTGTGTGGTGTTTTCGGCGGGCCGGAGAGTCTCGGGCTTCGCGGCGACGGGCTCATAGGCCGGGATGTCTTCAATAACATGGGCGGCTTGGGCAGTGACCTTTCCAGTTGGGACAGGTGTGGCGATGGTCTGGAGGGTCGTGGAAGGGGGAAGAGTAGAGTACACCGGGAAGTTCTCGGGCTCTTGCTCGGGCATCTCGACGACGATGTAAGTGACGCGCACAACACCGTCGTCGTGGCAGCTGCATCCCTCCGCATGAGCGGCTACGCCGGAGGCCAGGAAGAAGGCGGCCAGCAGGCGGCCGATGATGTTTGAGCGGGCCATTGATAATGAGTGTGGGTATCTAAAATAAAGAAAATAAAGAGGGTATTCGAATTGTTGCTGAGGGTATCAAGAAAAGAGAGGACGCTCAGAATCTGAGCTGGCTTGGCAAGGGTCAACGAGTGACTGGAGGATCGCGAGATCACCAACAAACAGGTGCTGCTGCTTCTTCAACATCAAGGGGATTTACGGGAGAGGCGGCCACTAGGCCTTATATGAGCACTCGCAGGATGCACATTGTCTGCCCCTTCCACCCTCCATGTTCTCACGACCACCCCCCTTTCAGATGATGGACACATGGTAACTGAGATTGAGCTGCCGCTAACGGCGCATGGCGCCGGCAATCAGAGCCGCGCATTCTCTGCTCCAAGAGCTCAAAAGGCGTGTGGCTCACATCAATGGACGGCTGAATGGGGATAAGACGCGGTAGGAGATGGCGTGAGGCCCAGTCAGGACCACGAGTTTATCTGGTACCCTTCCCACGAGACCGGGGTTTTCAGGGCAAAGAGGAGGGGAAGAGGAGGATTGGTAGATGACGAATGCAACGTTCCTGCATTAGCTTCTCATGATTTTGGGGTGTCGTGATGGGCGCAAGGTCGACGACAAGACGGATACTGGCCGCGGGCGGGACTTGGTGCCAACTCGGCGGACGATTTGAGATGTGATTCAGACGGGGAATACCGTCCATCTGCTCAATCGGTAACAAATTGGCACCAAAAGGGTCTTTTTGGGCAGAAGACGAGGGGTTCGAGGGTTGGTGATGGAGTTGTGACGATTGCGCCGCCGCCGCCGTCAGGTAGGAATCAGGTGGACGAAGAGGGCGACTTACATCTCGAGCTAGACTGCACCAGGGGTCCTTCCCGAAGAAGACGTCGTCAGCGGCCAGGGATGGCATCTTTCATACCTTCACAGCACATCATTGGCCCATGATTCTAGCATATCGTGGGCTGTAGATTGAATCAATGTGAATCCCGCGCATCCCGCTGTCTTGGACGTGACGATTGGGGCAGCTCCCATTACCACTTGAGCCAATTAGGGGACAAACGGCCGCGATGGAGTGCCGCTTCGCCCCGTGTTCCCTGCAGAAAGCGTGGCTTCTGCGTGCTCTTTGGTCCATTCGGGCCATGAGGACCCCTCAGCTGTCAGCGATAGCCCCCAATAACGGCGCATTATCGGCGTTGCTGACAGGAGAGGCCCCTGGAGGCAGCATGTGAGTTTGTGTGTGGTGTTGCAGGGGGGGCTCGGACGCAGGAACACAGGGAGGACCCGCTGGATGTCCATTCAGGGTGTTTAGGCCGCCTCTTAATTCTCTAGAAGAGGATGGCCGATGCTTGGACGGCGGTTTTTGAAGGGAGTTTTCCTGGCGTCTTTTGAGTTGCGAAATCTAATTGGTTGTCAGCGAGGAGAAAGAGGGGAAGGGTATCATCTATGGGGAAATATTGGCCACCGATGCGGCGATTTACCCTCGGTGATAGAGTCCGAATGCCACTCTTTCATTTCCCGCCCTCACCAACACGTGTTGGGACTTTATCGTTTCTCACAAAGCTTCACGACTCGCTGGTCATGCTCTATCACATCACAACTCACAGGGGGAGAAGAAGACGACATTGCCGGCTGCCGACCACATTTCGCCCTCGCGTTCTTCCCAAAAGCATTCATCGTC